CCCCTGCAGCATCCTCTTCGCGGGGGGTGGGCCTTCCCTGCCTCAGGAGGGACTGTGAGGGGACGCGAGAGGCCACAGCAGAGGTCAGGGTCCCTGGGCCACACACCTCAGGCCACACTCGGGCCGTTGGGATGGGCAGTCCTGGGTGGGCTGTGGGCACCTGCGGGGGCCGGGGCCGGGGCAAGTAGTCACCCCCTCCGACCCCTCTGCTCCGGGGTGTCTTCCCCTGAGCCCTGGGGAAGGGACGGGCTGCTCAGAGAGGAGCCGTGTCCTGCCAGGTGGCAGTTGGGGACCTTACGAGGTCCCTGCCCCCCCCCCCCCCCCCCCCCCCCCCAGGTGAGCTGCCATTAATCTGCGAGGGACCAGGTCCTGCCCCCAGCAAACCTGGGAAATCCTGGAGCACGCCCCTCCCTCCTGCCGCCTCCCCTCTGCCTGACCCCGCCCAAGGCCTGTCTCAGGAGGCCTGCCTCCCGCCCTGGCCTGAGCCCCATTCCCTTGTCGCTCACCCCAGGAGGCCAGATGGGCCCAGCTCACCAGCTGAGGGGGTGGGGGCACCAGGATACTGGCCCGATTTTCCTATTTCCTGTTCCCGGAGCATTGGGGGGGGGGGGGGTGTCACGTGCCTGATCCATCTGCCTCTGCCTTCCGGGGATTCTCCTGTCCTTGGCTCCTCGGTGATGTCATGTGTTAACTCTCCCCTCCCCTCGCCCCTCCCGAGAGAGCTCACTGTCAGGCTGCCCTGGGGGGGGGGGATTTGGGGGGGGACGGGACCTGACCCTCCCCTCTCCTGGCAGATGGTGCCATTCTTTCTTGTTTGGAGGTCGGGGCGTCTGAGGGAGCCAGAGAGAGGTCTGGCTGAGACCAGCGAGCTGCAGGGGCCACCAGGCTGGGGGAGCCCAGTTGGAGTCTGGGCTGGGCAGGGGTGGCTGGCTGCCCTGGCCCCGCCCTGCGTGTGCACCTGCACTGGGTCCCGGCCCCTCTCTGTCCTCAGACGCGTCTGACCTCTCTACCCGGGGCCGCAGCAGCCCGACCCCAGAGGAGGGGGTCCCATTGGACAGGGCCTCTTTCTGCCTGGGGTTGTGTGGCTCTGGGCAGCCCTGGAGTCAGCGGGATCTGGGTCCCTGTCCTGCCTCCTCCTCCCAGGCGGCGGCCTCTCCCAGCTTCCGTTTCCTGGCCTGTCTGAGGGCCGTGGGGCCGCGGGGCAGCCGACAGGAGCAAGCAGCCCTGGGCCAGCAGCCCCGTGGGGAGGGGCATGGGGAGGTGAAGGTCCAGCCTGCCTGACGCGGGGTCAGGGCAGCTGGCTGCAGGCTGACCCCTGGCCGACCTCTTCCCATTGCAGGGCGACTATCGACGAGGTGGAGACAGATGTGGTCGAGATCGAGGCCAAACTGGACAAGGTGAGGGGCTGGGGTGTGCGGGCTCCAGTGCCGCTCCCTGCTCCCCAGGCCCGGCCACCACTGGTGTTGCACGCACGTGTGGGAGCGCAAGTGTGTTACGTGTGGGGCATGCGGCCCGTGTGCGTGCACGAGACGTGGCTGTGTCCCCTCACCACAGCTGTACCTGCCATGCCCGTCCCCGGTGCACACGCTGCACACACGTGTGTGCGCCTCTGGGTCTCCCATCAGGTGGGGGTGGGCCGTGGTGCGTTCGCTCCAGCGAGTCTTCAGGGCCAGAGACAGCCGCTGGGAGGCTGTGGCTCTGAGTGACCAGGTTGGGGGCCCCGGGGGACTAGGGGGAGCAAGGAGGGCACACTCCTGAGCCCCCTCGGTGGCTGCTCCCGCTGACCCTTGGCCAGGCCCACGTGCCCACCGCCCTGGGTTCTCTGCTCGGCTTCCCGCTCTGGAGCCCAGGCCCAGGTGGCTCTAGGCTGACCCAGCGCCCAGTGGGCTCAGGATGGAGTGCGGGCAGTGGTGGTCCCCCCAGCCTTGGGCAGCTGTGTTCTGGGCACGGCCGGGCCCTGAGCTGCATTCCGCTGCCCCAGCCGTCGGCCGTGGTGAGGGCCGGCGAAGGCCGGTGGC